GGAAGAAAGAGCAACAGATAGAAGCTGGTGGTTCTTAGGTTTTATGTTTGGGTGCCTGAGCAGACACCGAAGATGAGCGGTTCTGTAGGGGACTATAATTATTATGATTATTATTTTTTATAGACTCTTTTTCTTTTTTTTTTAACTTTAAGTTCTGGGATACATGTACGGAATGTGCAGGTTTGTTACATAGGTATACCTGTGCCATGATGGTTTGCTGCACCTATCAATTCATCATCTAGGTTTTAAGCCCCGCATACATTAGGTATTTGTCATAATGTTCTTCCTCCCCTTTCCCCTCACCCTTCAACAGGATGATGTTCCCTGTGTCCATGTGTTCTCACCCCCCAAAAGGGTGTGTGATGTTCTCCTCCCTGTGTCCATGTGTTTTCATTGTTCAACTCACAATTGTGAGTGAGAACATGCGCTGTTTGGTTTTCTATTCCTGTGTTAGTTTGCTGAAGATGATGGTTTCCAGCTTCATCCATGTCTCTGTAAAGGACTTGAACTCATCCTCTTTATGGCTGCATAGTATTCCATGGTGTATATGTGCCACATAAAGCTCATCATCACTGTTCATTAGAGAAATTGGCACCATAATTATTTAAGTTAAGGGCATGTGTTGAAGTGTGGTGGAGGACACAGGTAGAGATTTCCAGGAGGCTTTAAAACCTAAGTAGATTTTGGAGCTAGAGATGTAGTGTCGCAGTCATATATTTTGAGGAAAGTGAACATTGAGAGAATGAGAGATAAGATCACCCATTCAGAGCAAGATAAAGATACTAAAGAAGAAAGCCTTGAGGGTCATCTCCATCTAAACAGTTCAATCTCTGTGTCCATTGATCAATATAATACCGTCCTAGTTTGTAATTTTTATTTTTCTAATTTGATGTTTGATATCCACACACACACACACATACACACCAATATATACACACATAGGTATATGTAACTAAGAAATCCAAGTAGATTCCTATAATAGGACTAATTTATGATAAAACTAATAGGTAGCATTTATATAGCACTTTACAGTTTACAAAGCCCTTTCATGTAACATAGGGGCTGAGAATTGTTTGAGGTCCTCGTAAAAAAAATTATTTGAGGTATTCATAAAAAAAAAAGTCACACCTTCCAGCCTCCCTTTTGAAACATGAGATGCCAGTATTTCATGTGAATTTTGTCCATTTCTTGCTAGCTTACCATATGGAATTGTTTAATCCTCACAGCATTCCAGAGAAGCAGGCCCTGATCCCCACCTTACAAATGAGAAAATCAGGGTGACTGGTTGATTTGCCTCCAATTAGCATTATTATAGGTATAGTATATCAAATGATGAATTATCACAGACTCATAATATATATACAACACTTATCTCAGAATTTAGCAGCTAAAAACAACAATAAACTTATCAGCTCACATGGTTTCTGTGGGGGATTCTGGAATAGGCAACTGGATGGTTCTGGGTCTGGCTTTCTCAAGGTTACAGTCAAGATGTTGGCCAGAGCTGCTGTCAGCTGAAGGCTTGACTGGGGCTGGGGAATGGGTTGCTCATAGGCCTGTTGACAGTGGCTGCTGACAGGAGGCCTTTGTTCCTCCTTGGCTATTGACAGGAGGCCTCAGTTCCATGCCACATGAGCCTGCCTCTCTATAGGGCTGCTTGAGTGTCCTCACAACATATTATCTGGCTTGCCCCAGAGAAAGTGATCCAAAAGAAAGGAAGATTGAAGCCACAGTTTTTGTTGTTGTTGTTCTTGTTTTTTGAGATGGGGTCCTGCTTTGTTGTTCAGGCTAGAGTGCTGTGGTACAATCATAGCTCATGGTAATCTCAAACTCCTGAGCTCAAGTGATCCTCCTGCCTCAGCCTTCCAACTAATTAGGGAGGCTACAAGTGTGTGCCACCATGCCTGGCTAATCTTTAAAAAATATTTTTAGAGATGGTGGTTTCATTATGTTGCACAGGCTGGTCTCAAACTGCTGGCCTCAAGCGATCCTCCTGCCTCAGCCTCCCAAAGCACAGAGTTTACAAGCATGAGCCATCACACCCAGCCTGGAAGACACAATTTTCTTAAGGCCCAACCTCAAAATCCCACTCTATTATTCCCATAAAATCCTTGATTATACAGTCAGTCTAATTCAGTGGGGATTACACAGGACATGAATATCAAAAGAAGAAAAGATGGAAATCATTGGGCACACCTTGATCACTATACCATATTATTTATCCCAAATACATACACTTCCAACTTTCAGAATGAGTGACTTATTCTAACATAGGTTAAAGACACTCTGAAAGGATGTTTTTCTTTACATATTTTACAATTCAAGCCTGAATACCATTTTTTTAAATTTATGAAAATGTCCAAAGCTTCTAATATTCATAAGTGAATAATCAAACAGTAGGCAGTGGCTTGCCCAGTGGAAAACTTAAATGAGGAGGTGTCCTGTCACACTTGGTAATGAACGAGGCCTTTAAATGGATTCTTCATGTTATTTATCTGTTGGAATCATTGAAATAAATTGCATCAAACAAGTCCTCTGGAAATCGCCCAAATGAATATAACATGCCATTAATCAAGGTGCCAGTTAAATGAATTCTACACTTTTGGCAGCAACACAACAGAAGGTTGTACATTTTTTCACCTTATATTTTAGGAGTTTAAAAGACTTGAAGGGCTGGTAGAAACGCTTGGGTAAAGTTCACATTTAGCTTCAACATGTGGCCTAACTTCTCAGCAACTAGCTCCAGCTGTAGAATGTTATTAGTTGACAAAAAAAGTGACAGCTGGAAGGATGGCCCTCACTTATCCCAAACCATGGTCCTCTCCTCCACTGTGGTGTTCATACACACCATTGCCCAGTTGCACAGTTTCTTACCTAAGTCTGTAAGTATACTTATGCTTTCCATAGCTTAGCAAAAACCCTGAGTTGACTTCTATTCTATCTATTGCCCCAATTCACTGATTCGACTCATTTGGAGCCTACCAAATTTGACAGAAAAGAAAAGAAGCCATATCCTCAGCTCCACTTCCTTATCACCCACTTACTTCTCAGGCCCTCGCAGTCACTCTCTTGTGTTCTTCACCCACTCTCTGCTAAAACTACTCTCTCACAATCTAGCAACAATCATGTTAACTCAGCAAGCAGTAGCAACATGCTGTTGAAGACCCCATACTTCTAAAACTTGTGGTACAGGACCCTGCACTTTGTTCAGCTCCCTGGATCTCAGCTGCTTCTGCCTTCCCATGGACCTACATCATAAAACAAAAGTCGGCGTCATGTTACCTTAGTTATTGTCCTCCGCCCACTCCTCTGTGCTGCCTGCCTTTTTGCCCCATTTACTCCTTTGGCTTCAGCCGTCTTCTTATGATGAACATTTCTTGCGTCTGTAATTTCAACTTGGATTTTTTAAATGTATTGAGACTTGCTTTATGACAGAGCACGTGGTCAATCTTAAAGAATGTTCTGTGCACAGATGAGAAGAATGTGTATTCCGTGGTTGCTGGATGGTAGATGTCTGTTAGGTCCATTTGGTCAAAAGTTCATTTAAGTCCACAGTTGCTTTGTTAGTTGCCTGTCTCGATGATTTGTCTGATGCTGTCAGCGGCCTGTTGAAGTCCCCCACTATTATTGTATGGCTGAATCTCTTTTCTTAGATCTAGTAATATTTGTTTTACAAGCCTAGATGCTCCAACAAAGGCCTCCTCCAATGTCAGATGCATATATATTAGGATAGTTAAATTTTCTGACCTCTTACAAGCTCCATGTCCCCATAGTGCTTCAAAGTCAGTAGGTCTAACACTGAACATGTCATTCCCAGCCCCATCACATTCTATAACACCATTTCCCCAACTTTCATCTCTGTGCCCAAAGTCACCTAGGTAACCACTCATCTTGACTTCTCCTCCTTCCTGGCAACTCACATTTTATAAATCGCTGGGCCCTATTATTTTGGCCTCTCCACTGTCTCTTGCATCCATGCCTTCCCTCCTTTCCATTCCCACTGCCTTGACTCAGTCCGCCCTTTCATTACCCTGTGCCTGACCTCTAGGATAGTCCTCCTCCTATGCACTGCTGTAAGTGTGCAAGGTCTTGCTGAAATACCCTGTCCACTTAGCCCATACTGTTTCCTTTGCCAAGAATCAGTCATTTCTCCATTTCAGATTTCTAAAATCCCATTTGTATCTCAAAGTCAAAATCAAATACCACTTTCTCCATAACTTCATGAGCACCCCCTCCTTTCTTAAAATAACTGCTTCAGCCAGGTGTGGTGGCTTATGCCTATAATCCCAGCACTTTGGGAGGCCAAGGCGGGCAGATCACCTGAGGTCAGGAGTTCAAGGCCAGCCTGGCCAACATGGTGAAACCCTGTCTCTACTAAAAATACAGAAAATTTGCCAAGCATAGTGATGAGTACCTGTAATCCCAGCTACTCAGGAGGCTGAAACAGGATCATCACTTGAACCAGGGAGGCAGAGGTTACAGTAAGTCAAGATCACGCCATTGCACTTCAGCCTGGGCAACAAGAGTGAAACTTCATCTCATAAAAAAAAAATAAAATAAAAAATAACTGCTTCATTATCTCATATCTTTAAGCATTCTATACCTTTTGAGGCACATCTCACTTCATGTTGTATTGTCTGTCCTTTCTATTTTTTCAATGGGTTGTAAGAAGACATAGTCTTATTTAGCTGTTTTCCCCATAGTGCTTTCTATGGGGATTTGCCCTTTGTAGGTTTATTGTTGAGTAAATGACTCTTACTAACAGAATTTTTAAAACCCAGCAGCACATTTAATACATACTTATTTATCTTTGATTTTCATAAATTGGTTTGCAAGCAGTTCTCATGCCTGTCAGCTGAGACCAGTCATCTCTGGAAGCACATTGGACATGGCTAAAGTAGTGATTGTGTTTGGAAATTGCCATAAACTGGGCTTTCATCTTATTTTCATCATATTCTCATGGCTCCATGCTGTAACTTATCTGTCACTTCTCATTTCAGGGAGAGTGGAGAAGAGAGGAGAACAAAAAGTAACTTCAGGTAAGATTTTATCTAATGGACTCCAGCTTTATTTTATTTCCATTTCACCTTTAACATTTTGTAAATTTATTATTCAAAAACTCACACTAAAAGTAATAGTTTATGGTTCTTGAACTGATCAATATTAATTTAGTTAAAATAAATTCATATATTTAGCCTTTTTTACTTTCACATTAATCAGTTATACCCTTTTATGCAATCATTACATTTAAAAGAATATGAGATGGAATATTGTTTAATTTTTCCATGATTACCTATTTAAAGGTAAGTCTTGCAACCACCAGTATTAAAATACAGACATTGTAATAATTGACAACCAGTTTATTTTCCCAAATGACCATGAATCTCAATTTTATTTCTTAAAACTGCTTATGTATTAGATGTTTTTCAGGACAGTGTTAACTGACAAGCATCTTTATATTTTGGAGGAATTTTAAGAATGCCTTCACTTCTAAATTCATATGGATTCATAAGTGAATTATTCTTTGGCAGAGTGCCATTGCACATACTAGGTATCAATCTTTGCCAACTAATACAAAATTAAGTTTTTACATTTTCATACTTCCATTACTTGCCTTTTGGCTTAAAGTTGTGAGGTAAGATAGATTTTCATTTACCAAATCAATCTTTGCCTAGGAGCAGTATTCCAGTTCACAATGCCCAGAAATTGCCAATAATTAGAGAGAATGTTAACTTGGCATGTGTAGTTATGCCCACCATCCTTCCCGAGTTTCCACCAACCCACTACTCCTGTGATAAGTGAGAGCTACCAATCACTCCCATCCACTAGCTTCTTTTAGCTTCATTTCTTGTCTGGTAATAAGGTATTATGTGTGTTTCCAAAAAGTCAGTATAGTCAATAGAAGACAAATATCCATCTTAATCTAAAAGTGTATAAAGAGCATAAGCTCCTATCTGTTCTCCTTCCTAACCTTAGCATTCATTTCAGATAAATGGACAACTTAATACTGGCATAAATTTCTTGTTAAATATTGTTCGCGCTCTCTGGAAATCTTTTAAAGCCAGATCATGAACAAACACACACACACAACTGTGAAGGCAAGAAAGCCTCTGAAAGTGTCTGATTCCCTCACAGGTGTCATTACTTTCATTATTGCTCCTTGTGAGGAAATTATTTATACAGCTTCTAAAATGCTATTGCCATGACACTGTAAGTACTGCCTTTTTAGTTAAAGAAAATTCGTAGTTTGGAAGAAAGCTAAATCTGCCAAAGTATTACATCTGATGCCTCTTTAAATTCTCTCCATAGTCATGGCTTCTAAAATTCTGTGTGATCCAGGTTAGAGACAGAGGCAGGACAATAACTCAGGCATCTTCACTCCCTGTCCTTTCCTGTACTCCCAACATGCTAACCTTTCTTTTCAAAACAAAGTGCTAGTCACTGTAATGCTTTGTTCAGTTACTTGCTTAATAAAACACTTTTCAACAATGGGAAAATCTTTTAGGCAACAGCATCTTTGATAGGGAACACAAGTCACTAGGGTTATGAGAAAACTCCCTTTACTAGTGGAATTTTTACTAACTTGCCCTATCTGATTCATAGCTTGTCAATTGCCTGATTTCTATGAGAGAGTAAAGTCAAGAATGACTAATGGTAAAGCCAATATTCTAGGGAAATAATAGAGGTCTCCTAATCATTTCAAAGGACAACAAATCATGCCCTCAAGAAATCTACATTTGTAAAGATAGTCTGAGTTTTCAAGATTGGAACGTACTGTTTGCCATTATACTCATAAATACTACAGTCAGTCTGTGGTGCTGCCCTGAATGAACCCTTCTTCAGATAAAAGTGTATGGCTCAGATGCCAAAAGCATCGTGCACACTCCTATTTCTGACTTCCTGCTTGGAATTTTTTGCATCTTTGTTCATTTTTCTCAGATTCTATATTCTGCCTCCTCAGTTACTATACACCCCGCACCCTCTCGTTTACAGCTGAGTCCATCTCCCGGTTAAAAAAGACCAATATTAGGTCTGGGCCCTTTCAATCTACCCTATCCTATTGCACTAAATATATAATAATTGAAACAAAAAAATTAGAAAACAATATTTTAGACAGAATATTCCTATTAAAACCAGGACCCACCAAGACACTCATTTTTTGGTTGGTTAAGGTTAATTCTTTATTAAGGAGTTTTGCACGAAGATAAAAGTTACACAGAAGTCATTTTTTGTTCAGGATAAGAAGTAACTTCATAACAAGGAAACGTCTCTAGGACTGGAAAGAATGAGAGTATGTTTGTAAACATATGCAGGGATTGGGTACCCCCATAAAGAATATTGACAAGAGATTCATGAAGAGTTTTGTTAAATCATTGCTGAAGTTTTTTTCTAATTTTGTGTCTATGATTCTACTGCCATTATCACCTAAATGAAATGTCTCTACTATGTATATTGGGGTCAACAAAACTTAAGTGGCTTACATTTCATTATGTAACTATTAGTGTAATCTATGTAACTAAGTGAATCATGTTCCACAGATTACACTAATTTAGTTTGGACTGAGTTTCTCAGTAAAGCATCTAGCTGATGATACTAAGACTATGGAATAAAACTGTCCTGTAGTCTATTTAGTGACTTCTATTTAGAGTCAGTCTACACTGATTGCAAAACTGGCTATTGATTCACTTATGCTATTTTCCTACACCAGAAATAACTCACAAGAAAATATGTATAACTTGGTATCATTCATTGTCATTTTTGAAAACCCATTTAAATCATATGCCCTGTGATGCTAAGTTTGGAAGTCTATGTCATATCCATATAATGTGGTTAAAAATATCAAAACTAAATTTGGTGGTTTGGCTTGGTAAAAAATATTATAAAATATATGGTGGTATAATGCTAAATGGACAAATATGAGGAGGCAAATGCCTGATGTCATTGATTTCGATTTTCCCTTGATTCTCTTCACCAGAAAATTTTTTTTAAAAGATCAGCTATTTCATAGATGTAAAAATTCCATTGTTTGAAGTACCTTTATCTGATCTGAAGAAAGACCTCTTTGGGGGCCATAGAATTCACGGTATTAGAAAGCAACACAGCATAAAATGCAAAGAAGAATTCTTGTGAAGAAGAGTGCATTATAAATTATTGTTTAGAAAAAGCTATGTTAGGATGCTTATAATGTAAACTAGGGGAACACCATCTGTTAAATCTATATTCACACATTTCCAAGGAGAAGAACCCTTTCAAATTCAGTTAAGTGTAATGGAAAGAATAGCCCTAGTGGACGACAGAATGGAGAAATCAATTGCATATTTTTTGTTTCTGACATTGGAGCATCCTAAAGTTAGAAATGGTTTGTTCATTTGCATAATTTGCAAAAAGCTACCCATTGAGAGGAACAGTGTTATTTTTTTTCTTAACTCAAAAGGTGAAATTCATTATTGGAAATTTAGCAAAGGTAGAACATCTGCTTTGCAAGCTTAGTCCCTTGCTGCTTACAAAAAGTAAGCTTGCAACACACTCAAAAGGACTGAGTGTGGAAATGTGCTACAACAGCAATGGCACCTCCATTTTAAAACTTTGTAACACACATTGAACATGCAGTCATTCAGGATAAAAAACAACAGCTAAGTAGATAATGAATAAAATCTTCCATCTGTGTGTGAATAACGTGTTCACTTTATTATATGTCACATTTATTAAATACAAATAATAGCACATTTAGTATGATTTTTATCTATGCTATTTCTATTTTTATAGTGTTTTTGCCATAGTTCCTACGTACTATCCAAAAAACCTTAAAAATTAAGAGAAATACCTAATTTGTCATAGTTTTAATTATTGGTGACCAACATTAAACATATGAAGTTAGCAGGTAGAAGACATTGTGACAAATACATTTAAGTAAACTATTATTCTTGAAAAGCTGATCATTTTAGACATCGGCATTTTGCAATATTTTACATGTTTCATTTTTACTTTGAGAATCATTATTCCAGTTAGAATCAAGCTTAAAATTCTTATTTCCTAACTTGCTCATAGCTTATAAAAGCGCTTTTCTTGACAGCAACTCAGGTACCATGAAAGGGGCAGTGAAGGAATCTGAGGCATTTATAAATTGATACTTTCAATTTGATAAATATTCTGATTATCCAGGACTTGTGGTTAACATCAGAGATGCAAGGGTAAATATGATGTGGGATAAATATCCTTAATTCACTCACTCTCAGTTCAGGGAGAAAAGCAAGTACACATGATTACAACATGGTGTCAAGAGTGACTTTTAGAGAATGATGTACAAGGTATTGTGAGGAATTCAGGGAGGGCTTCCTGGAATAGGCAAGACTTGAGTCAATCCTTGAAGAAAGCATTGGAATAGTTTACCAGGTCTGAAAGACGGGGAAAGGACTGGCTGTCCAAAGGAATGTGTTTATGCAAACTAAACAAATTTGAAACACAAAGTAGTTAATGAAAGAGAAATTGCCAGAGAGATGAAGGTAGTGGGAAAAGGTAGTGGCCTATTGAGGGAAAGTTGAGTGATTTAATAAAACTGGAGCAGAGTCATAAACAAGAGGTGGGAGATGTGGCCAAACAGTAGACAGATGCCAGAATCAACAAGGACCATCTGTGCCATTCCATGGAGTTTGGACTTTTCGCAGTAAGTGCTGAAAGCTAATGAAGTGCAATAGAATCCATTTGCATTTTCTAAAAGTCTCTCCAGAAGAGAGATTTCAAAAAATTTCAGTGGAAGTATGGATTGGAACAGAAATTGACAGGAGGTAAGGAAATCAGGGGCCATATCATTTTAATTAAGCTGTCTGGAGAGAACTGACTATGCTCCGGTCTTCCCAACTCTGCATTCAGTGAGGTCGTGTAGGGAGCTTAAAATTGGCCATGGTGGGAGTATTTACATCATGGAAATTGGCAAACACTACAAACCAGGGTCCATTCAGTTTTAAACATTGACCAGTGTGTCCCTGGATCTAGGACTGTGTGATAGCAAAACCTGGGCATTTCCCACTGCCCTGCTATG